CATATTCAAATTTGTGTCACACAGAAGAGATAATAAAATGCAGAAAAGTATGCAAAATATTTTGATGTCGTGTCAGAATTTAGTAATTTTTTCCCGTGTTGGGGTTTAACTTTTTTTAGTTATGAATTTTGAATAGGTCGAGAAGATATGATGCAGTTGTGAAATACCATGGAATGCTTAAAGGTGATATGAGATGTTCTTGAAAATTGTGATATATGTTTATTAGAGCAAGGGAAAATTTACAGAATATTAGAATTAAGAATTTATATTTTCATAGTATATTGTAGGTGCTATGTAAATATTAAATAATTAGAGAATATTAATACAAACTGCTACAGAAACCAAAACTATTCATCTCTCATTTCAAATCCGTGTCTCCTTAATATTCAGACTCTGACAATTTTGATGATTTGATTTTTATTTTGTAGCATATTTAGAGTTTCTAAGGAAATTTTGTTAAAATCACCATTAAATTAAAGGCTAAATTACACTTCATGTTAAAGTCACGTGTAAGGTGACATTTTCCACAATCTGTAGCATTTTCTGTGACATACTTTTAGACGCTTCCAATATTTTTAACCTAAAAGGACCTCTTTATAGTATAGTGTACTATAGTATAGTATAGTATAGTATAGTATAGTATAGTATAGTATAGTATAGTATAGTATAGTATAGTATAGTATAATATATGTATAGTATAGTTGTATTTATGGTAACGCGTAGAATATAGTTTATGTATTATAGGGTATACATAGGTACTATATTAAGTTCGGTCGGGTCGAAATTTAATAACCTCCACAAAAGAGTAAAGAAAACATTTGCAAGAAAAGTACTGGTTTCAACGAATACCACTTTAAACTACAAATACCAGTAAGATCTTTTGGATAATGCAGTTCAAATTTTGAAAAAAAAAAAAATTAAGTGGCCATACCTAAACTGGAACATATACAGGGTGAGATGAAAAAATTGCAACCAACTTCAGACTGCTGTCATTTCTAAGCGACTCGTCCGACAACTGTTAAAATGATTCTAGTGACAGTTCAATATATTGTTTACATGTGTACAAAAGCATTTTGGTGAGAATTTTCCAGAAAAAAAGTTATTCGTGATGGAATTCAAATGATCGTGTATACTTGCCAAAGAGGTCAGCTGGAAATGTGCACCATCGGTTGGCCAACAGAACTCAAGCGCCGGCCATGGTGATGGTGTGGGCCGCCATAACAACCGATGGTCGCTCTCCGCTCGTATTAATCGACCGTGACATCAGAATAAATGCCGAATATTATCGCGAAAATATTTTGGAAGGTGTATTAAAGCCTTGGGCACGCAAACATTTTGGCCGCAGACCTTGGACATTCCAACAGGACTCAGCACCATCGCACTCAGCACGCGCCACCCAAGAATGTTTACAAAATGAGGTTCCTCGCTTCATTTCCAGCGCGCAATGGCCACCAAAATCTCGGGAAACTAATCCATTGGACTATTGTGTCTGGAGTATTTTGGAAAGCAAGGTTGGCACTAACAAATACCAAAGTGTCGATCAGCTCATGCAAGCACTTCGCCGGGAATGGGCCAAAATACCGCGGAGCAAATCTAAACTTATTCTAAAATTTGATGCAATTTCTGAAATTTTGTGCTTTCATTAAATTAAATTGAAAAAAATTTAAAATTTATGGCGATTGACTTTGTTTTAGTTTTTTATCTCACCCTGTATAGGCAATTTTTTTTACTACGAAAATTGATATCTTACATACCAAATTTGAAACCATTTCGTTGGTAGATGTGACTAGGATTATAAAAATAGTTAATATCGGTGGGTGCCATTGTATGTGCGCTATAGGAAAACGTTGACCTAGATATTTAATGTTCTGCCACCGAAACTAAAACCCATTTTAAACTACAATTACAAATTTTTGAACCAACTACAAATGCCAATTGTCGGACAAATCGATAAAAAAAAAATGTGACTCAAACCATCAAAACACCGAATATCAGAGAGATACGTTATATGGTTGCTCTATGTACGATGTTCCGTTACCCCAGCTAGAACCCATTAACAACGACAAATACTATTTTTTAACAAATCCGTGGAAAAATGTGGCTAAAATCATCAAAACACCGAATATTGGAAGGTACCGTTATATGGGGGCTACACGAAAACGTGAACCGATATATATCACTTTCAATACCATCCATCCAACACACAATCCATTTGTGGTACAAATATTGAAGCTCTACGACAAATAATGTGATCTGTATCCTGATATCAACAGATAGACAGCTGGACATCGTTAAATCGACTTACAATTTTGTGCTAATCATGAATACATATGCCTTATGGGGTCTAGGAGGATTATTTAGGGATGATACAAACGGAGTGATAAAGTATAGGGTGGAGGTTATAAAAATTATTCGTAGCTCCTCAAAGTAGACTATGAAAATGTACAATAATAAATGTTAAAAACATTACTTCACATATGACTCTAACACAATGTGTAGTCTGGGCTTAAGTGATTATACCTTTTACTTCTATTCATTAAAGCTGAATTTGCGCACTCCAAATATATGGCGCTCTTTTAATCGTACACTGTAATATCATAGATGATTTATCAAGTATTAGAATCTCTTTTACTGATAAAAAGGCAAATTGCTTTCAAAACATTACCATATATTTTGTTTAACCTGACTTCTCAAAACCTGTAATGCATAGCTTTAATGTTCCCCTTAGAGATATGCTCTTCAATTAAGACTGATAGTTGAATTCGCCCAGTTTCGATAGATGGCGGTTATTAAAACATTCAATAAAATTTTAAAAAAGTTTTTGACATGTTTTTACCCTTCTGAGACAAATTTTAAAAATGAATATCAGTACAAAATTTATATAAAATATATTAGGATGGGATCAAAGACATATAATATAAGATTGGACCAAAGACACAAAACTATAAAGATTGGACAAAATGCATATGGGCTTTAATTCTTCAATCAAGTAACAGATGGCAGGCGACATAACAGAAATGCATTGGAAATTTTAGAAAAATATGTTATTGCGATATCGTCGAAAAATGGCGGAAATACGCGGAAAAAATATCAGGTATGATAGACATGCTCTCAAAAATCTATTTCAGAGCATTTCCTTGTACATTGAATCAATAAAAATCAACAACAATCCTTTAAATATGTCAGCTCTGTTAAATTTAACATAATGCTATGTCACGATATCGTGACATAATATATTTTTCCACGACCAACGCCATCTATTGAAGAAAAGTAACAATGTAATGTCCGATCTTATTATATTATATGTCTTTGGGGACTATTACAACACAATATTTTGCCCAAAAGAATGTCCACATTTTTTTAGGATGGATAGAAGTATTCATAGATTATAGAAAGATGGCGTTCGTCTTAGCAAATATCGCAATTTCAAAGATATTCTACAGTTCTTAAAACCTCTAGGACAAAATATGCGAAAATTCCACTTTATGTCTTGGCAATTGTAGATTTCATTCAATTAGCGGGATTATACATTCAGTAAATTTTCTGGAGACCATATGTTTAATAACTGCCACTTTTTAAATCTTTCAATTGTCAATTTCAGCGAGCTCGTCTATATAAACACGAACTTTAACATAGCTCCACAAAAATAATTTAAGGCGGCAAATCACACGATCTAGGAGGCCAATTGTTCTCTAATAATTTTGTAACCGAAACTGTTTTGACTAACTGTCAACCAAAACGATTTGCAAGTACACAGGTGGCGTATGACTATTGACACAACGTATACGCAAAGAACATTAATGTACTGGATTTTAATTTTAATGTACACTTTTCTTAGAATTCTTTTAAGGTCTCTGTGCACAAACAAAGCATTCTACATTTTTTCTCACACAATTCACATAGTTTAAATTCCTTGTGAAAATATCCTTCCATTTTGCAACAAATTGGAAAAGTGCATAATCTTATTTTCCATAGAATATCGTGCTGCATGCACTTAACAGCTATAAATCTAAACTTTTTCGCCTCCATACAATCCCCCTCCCCAAAATGTATCACCTCCTGGTGTTTATGATTTCAAAATGCTGTTAAAGTGCGGTGTACTTCCTGATATTCATATTACGTGCGGGGATTAATAATGAATCGTTGCTTTTTTTTTTTTTTTGATTCCTTCATTGTTCCGCTTGATTTTCCCGTGTTGCCAGCAAATGAGATTCAGCCATAGAAGAAAGAAAAATAGAAGAAGCTATTAACATTTTGTTATCTTTATGCATTCCCGCAATTTTACTTAACAAACTTTCCGGATGTCTAAGGATAACATAATAATTACTGCGTATGCCATGAGATGAAGGAGTGGAGCATGAGCTGGGATTTTGCTCCTCAACGTTCATCCGAAAGACAAAGACTTTTCCATTGCCATCTTGGCTTGGGGAATTCAGGTTTCTAGTCTGCCTTTGTTTGGTGTCGAACAGATGCAAAGTTTTTCTTAATTCTTCCTTTCCTTTTTTTTTTTTTTTTGTGAAACATATTTTATAAGTTGAAAATTATACGCTGCATAAAATCACGAAATGCACATAGCCTGTTAGTACTTTTTTTGCTTTTCTGTTTTTGTGTGAGAGACACGCGAATTGTTTAATTACTTTTGTAAAATCCCCTTAAAGTATGCAATGATAAAAACAAAAGACCTGCGAATGCTAAGTGTGGAAAATCACATAAGAACTTAATTTTCAATGGCAGCCAGTCTGCTTTCTAAGAACGAATGGTTAATGTATTTCCGTGGAAATGGAAGGAAATGGTAAACGAGGAAACGGAAATGCTGGCAACAAAAGAAGTTTTTTTCCACGCCATGATAGGGGAGACGGGAGAGCTTTGAATATTTTAAGAATTTACAAGTTCATGTCTGGGATTCTTTTTTTCCAACAAACTTTTGCTGTTTAGAACTTACTTTTGTATTGTTTGTCTGCAATAATTGTTTTTCTCTTTCTTTTGCAATTTGCTTTCAGGTGCGGGCTATGGAACAAAGGTTGAGTGAATGGCCTAAACCACCAACCACAGCCAACACCAACACAAACACAACCAATCAACAACAAGGCCTTCAACAAGCTCAACAACAGCAACAACCTCAAACTCCAGCCAATACATCACCAGTAACTGCCAGTCAACAACAACAATCCACAAGTCTTCCAGCCCATCCTGAAGCCGAAAAAGTCATAACTTCACTCGAAATCCAAGTGGAAGAACAACGTCAATTACGACTACAGGACGCCCGACAAATCGAGGCCAAAGCGGCCAAAATCAAAGAGTGGGTCAACAACAAACTCCGCGATCTCGAGGAGCAAAATGAACTGTTGCGTGAGCAAAATCAAAAGTGCAATCAACAACTGGAACTGCTGAAAAACTACATAGCCAATCAGTCGAATCGGCACAGTGTCATAGGACCAGTTCGGAATAGTCTGAGTTTAGATGTCCAGGAGTTTGCCGCTTCCAAAGAGAATCGTCGTCGCAGCGAAAGTCTAGATACCCAAGAGATTATAAATCGTCCCCTAACCGCCTCATATCCCCACCACCAGCATCGTCGCAATCTCTCCATGGAGCCAACCGAGTTGGAACGTAATCTGGTGGCGGCCGTTGATGGCCTCACCCTCGCCCCCCTAGCTAGCATATCAAAGCAGTCATCTTCCGCCGGCACGGCAGTGAAAAATGGCCGGCCCGATAGTTCCGATACAGATACGGCACATGATTATGCCGAAATCTATACGCCATCATGTGAAAAAATGCCAGCCTGGATGAAAAATAATCCCGCCCTGATGGCCAGTGGTGGTACGAGTACAACAACAACAACCAGTGAAATTGGGGGTGTCCCCAGGCCACCAACACCGCCATTGCATCGTTTTCCCTCGTGGGAGGCGAAAATCTATCAGGTGGCCAATGATGGTTTGGCGGGGGCAAGCGGTGCAGAAAATGGTGGAGGTGGCGGTGGTGCCACAAGCAGCGGACATTCGCAACCACCACCACCTGACATCCAGGAATCGACCAGTGGTGCTAATAGTCATTCGAATACCTTAAACAATGTTGGTCATGGCCGACATACGCCTGCATCGCTGAATGATGGTGTCATCACACCTGGAACACCCCAGATGCCAACGAGGCAGCAGCAAACAGCCAGTGGTGGATTCTGTGATATATCGGTGCCCGTTTATGCGACCGTTAAAGGGGTAAGTTGGAAGTGGATTTTTAACTGATTTATTGTTAAATATGTAGTAAGAATTATCATAATTATTATTTTTATTTTTAATATTGCACTGTGCGACAAAATTTTGTCAATAACTACGGAAAATCCAGCCGATTTTGAAAGTGTAGGTAATAGAGGACACGCATATTGGCGTTTTGAAACTTTACATAGAAAAGGAACCTTTATAGAGAGGGAATGTGAAATTTTCTGATTAAGATCCTTACACCCTCAGGCATATGGCTGGAGAGGGTATATATCATTTGATACAGTCAAAACGTGCCTTATCGAAATAACGGTTTTAGACTCTAGGTTTCTTTGCACCAAATCTGTTTCAGGACATTTGAAGTTGATCTAGCGATGTCTGTCTGTCGATCTGCCTGGCTGAGGCGCATGATTACTCTCAAAGGAAGTTCCGATTTTATTTTCAATCTTAGATGGAGTTCGGAGATGGGCAATATCGGTCCACTTCCTCTGGTACCTAAAAAAAATAATTTACTGTACAGAAAGAGAAAGGATAATCCGATGTCGCTCCAACTTTCTTATATTAGCATCAGTGCTAGGTCAAGTGCGAAAATGGACAATATCGGTCACTCCACCCTCCCCCACAAAGGGTCAAAATTTTGAATAATAATAACCCTTATAAAATATGATGTAATTGTCCGATCGTCTTCAAATTACACACATCACAATATTTTTATTAACTCAAGGTCTGGTGTGTCACAGTCAACTCCTTCTGGTACCTCCCCGCAAAAAGGTAAAAATTTTGAATAATCAAAACGATCATAACATCCAAAATAAACATCCGATTCTCTTCAAATTACAGCCATTGCAATTTTTTATTAAACCAAGGTCTGATATGAAATTGGGATATATCGGTCCACTCCTTCTGGTACCTACCCCACAAAGAGTCAACATTTTAAGTTTCCATGAAGCTATTACAAATCGAAATTTACATCCGATTTAATTCATACTTGGTAATTCTCAATGTTAATGAAGATGTTAGAGATCGGACCACAAAGGGTCAAAGTTTTGAATAATTACAACTCTTATAAAATGTGATGTAAGAGTCCGAAATTTTCAAAAAATATATTTTCTGCACAGAAAGAGAAACGATAATCCGATTTTGCTCCAACTTTGCAAATCTTAATATTAGCATCATTTCTAGGTTAGGTGCAAAAATGGACAATATCGGTCCACTCCATCAAGTACCTCCCCCACAAAGGTCAAAATTTTGAATAATAATAACCCTTATAAAATATGATGTAAGTGTCCGATTGTCTTCAAATTACACACATCACAATACTTTTATTAACTTAAGGTCTGGTGTGAAAATGAAATATATCGGTCAACTCCATCTGGTACCTCACCCACAAAAGGTCGAAATTTTCAGAAAATACTTTTTGCACAGAAAGCGAAACTATAATCCGATTTTGCTCCAATTTTGCAACTCCTAATATTTGCGTCAGTGCTACGTCAGGTGCGAAAATGGACAATATTGATCCACTCCATCAAGTACCTCCTCCACAGAGGGTCAACATTTTGAATAATTTCAACTCTTATAAAATATGATGTAAGAGCCCGATTGTCTTAAAATTTCAAACATCCCAATATTTTTATAAACCCAAGATTAGGCGTTAAGATAGATTATATCGGTCTACTCCTTCTGGTACCTCCCCCACAAAGGGTCAACATTTTAAATATTGATGGAAAATTAATATCCGATTCCGATCAGACTTGGCACAACTCAATATTTCCATAAACACAAGATCTGTTATAAAGATGGTGGACATCGGACTTTTACTTCTGGGACCTCCCCCACAAAGGGTCAATGTTTTAAATAATCAAAACGAATAAAATCCGAAATAAGCATCCGATTCTCTTCAAATTACACACATTGCAATATTTTTATTAATCCAAGATCTGATGTGAAATTGGGATATATCGGCCTACTCCTTTTGGTACCTCCCCCACAAAGGGTCCAAATTTTGAGTTTCCTTGAAGCTCATAAAACGCGTAATTAATATCCGATTCCATTCAGATTGGGCACATTTCAATATTTCCACAAACACAAGATAAAGACGGTGGAAATCGGACCATCCCATCTAGTACCTCCCCCACATAGGGTTCAGGATTTTTGAAAAACCAAACGCTCAAAGAAAGCGAGATAAGCATCCAACTCTCTTCAAATTTCACACATACAAATATTTTTGCCAACGAAAGATCGGTTGTAAAGATGATATATATCTGCCAACACAATTTCCAATACTTATATCTGTCATAACTTGCGAAAAAAGTCGGCGATTCTTTACAATTTGCTATATCCAAATTTTGCACATACCAACATTTTTATTAGACATTAGATGAAGTATGAAAATGGGTTACTTCTGTCCGCTATATCTGTTACCACATGCATATTTTCACATTTTCCAAAAATTTGCACATATCTCATATAAAGTATGGGGAAGTAGTTGACATAGTCCAAATTTGGTACGTTATAATATTTTTATCAGTCTTAGGTCAAATACGAATTAGTCAATATTGGCCAAGTGCTTCGGAACATCCTCCATAGCTCCTTTTTCAATATTTGCCGAATGGAATATTGCGATATGTTCAGCCATTTTTCGACCACTTGGAAGCAGGTTTCAAACAAGTCGCTTCTTTAGCTGTTCAATAGCTGTCGGACGAGTGGCTTAGAAATGACAACAGTCTGAATGTGGTTGCAGTTTTTCCATCTCACCCTGTATTATTATTACACTATACGACAAAATTCAATTGCACTATCCACTAGCCATTCAGGCTTCCAAATTGATGGGCAAATGGTACTTCTTTGTTGATGTACTTATCCAAATTCTCCTAAAAATATGCTATCCAATTCCACTATCCAACAGCCAGTCAGGCTTCGACATTGATGGGCAAAACTTTACTTCTTTTTTCTTTGATGTATCCAATTTCTTCTGAATTCCTATTTTTAATTTTTTTAAAGAAGAAAAGTATATGAATGATAAGATAGGACTATGATTATTCAAGTTCTCCTAAAAATATGCTAAGTGTCAGCAATATATATTGAAATATTTAAATTTCTTTTTCTGCTAAAACAGAATAAGGAGACCTTTCATGATCGAGTCCTCATAAAATATTTTAGATATTAACATATGAAACTTTTTTCCACAAAATATAAATTTCATTTTAGGACGACCCTCCACCTCCAACAAGGCATTTCTTTTCTTTCAAAAAAAAAAAACTTTTTCTTTTCTTCTTTCCCGTTTTTTTTTTTCAGATGACCTCACCGTAGGCTTTTTTTATTTTAAATTCCTCTAGTTCAAATGAATTATCCCATCACCCATCATTTCCGTAGTGTTGAAATTTTTGTTGCTGCTGTTGTTGTTCAGATGGCAAAACGTGATGAAGTTTCTGTTGAACTTCCAGCTGTGTTAGGTGGTCATAAGTACTCTTAAGCTGTGTTAATTTAACTTAACTATAAAGCCAAGTACCCTGCTTTTTTCGTTCTTTTTAACAGCCGCCTATAAGTATGCAACATTTTTGAAATTCTAATAAAGTTTAAAAGTCATTGTAACTTTTGTGGAAAGTTTATGACGATGGGGGATGGATGATGGGGAAGGTGATGAAAGTTTTATGACTGTGGCCATAAAATGATATGATTTTTAAATGTTTGGGTGCCTTAGTTAACCTAATACTTTGTGTGTGCGTGCGGGGCAGTTGTCTTAAGTGGTTGGGTTGTAAAATGAAACCTCAAGGGGGAACCAAAATACAATAGGGAATTGAAAGTTTTTTTTTATTATTCCAGATGGCGTTTTTGTAAACCTCCTAAAGGTGTGCTTTAATTTATCCCCTTTCCTCTCGTATTTTAACCAACATTTATAAAATTTTTTAGGGTATAATTAGTATCTATTAACGTCGCGATTTTAAACTGGTTCTATTAAAACAGTATTAGTTCTACGAAAGGATTTTGTCGATTAAGGTGCTTTTGAAAGCAAGTGACTTCATAAACCACCAAATGCCATCTATAAATCAATTCTTAACCTAGTTCCGTTTTTAAAGAAGTTCTGAAAGTTAAGACCCATCTTGCTTTCTGATTTCCTGGTATTTCAATCACTTGTCTTATTAATATTCCATGTGTATTTTTTTCGAGGAACAGATGTCGCTTCATTATTCCTAAATGTATGCTTTAAAGTGTACTTTTCTTCCTATTTTTAACCAAACGCAATGGAAACCATCACTTTTATTTTAAGCACTTCACAGATCATGATTAGAATAAGGTTCATTTAAAATTGAAATATCCTAACGTTTTTTCTTCTACTCCATTTCCAGCGCGCTTCTCAAATACGTTCCATGCCATTTACTGGTGACTCATCCGATGATTCTAGCGACGGGGAAGATCATGCCGTTATGCTGACACACAATTCACATAATTCATCGAGTACCGACAATACGGAAACATCAACTTCCGGCAGTGCTTCCAGTCCATCGAAAAGTTGTAAGACTTCCTCATCGTTGAGTCCGGCAAAGCGTAGCGGTTCTGAAAGTCCTAAAAATAACAAAGCACGAGGTATGTTAGAAAATTCAAACAAACGAAAATCCCCCTCAAATAACTTTGAAATCTTTTTACTTCCAAAAGAAAATATTTATTTTCTAGTGTAAAACTTCTTTTTTTCGAATTTATATGTTTATTATTTCTTATAAAACTTGCCTGCGTAGTTAATGATTTGTTGGTAGTACTCCCATAGTTATGCAATATATGTACCCTGTGTTAAATTTACTTGTACATATATTGTCACTGGACAATGGTAAAACGCAAAAAAAATGCAACGAGACAACAAAATTCCGAATGAAGTTTGTGAACCCTCCACCCATTTCCCAAAGAAATCCAAATAATTTGATTGTTTCCTTAACTTATTTTTAAGGTTATGATAGTAGCCTGTAAATATGCTTTTAATATTTTGTTTTGGTAAAGATTTTTTAGTTCCATTAAACTATAATCCTCCCAGTATACTTTTTTATTATTTGTTAATTAATAATCATTGATTTGTTCATGCTCCCTAAAGTATGTCATAGCCTCAGTTAAATTGTTTTGGATAAAGATTGTGTTACGTTTTAATAACACCTCTTGCCGAAAGCCATCTATATCTCACTTTTAATATTGTTCCACGAACGCATTGAAGATGTTGCAGTGCCAAATATTTTGAAATTTTTCTTTAACCTGCAAACAAATCCATGATATTTTGCTAAATTATTAACAAGCGACATCTACTCCTCAATCATATATCATTTTGTAGTAGATTTATGATAGATTTATCTTCATATTTTCTCACATACTTAAACATATAATTTTAATTATACGCTCCACCATTCTATGCAGGGTAATTGAGGGCTTTGTCATTCTGTTTGTAACTCCTCAAAATATTCATGATAGAGCGACATTATTCGCCGGAATTGTTTCAAATTTCGTATTTGGAGATCATAAGCCTAAAAATTTCGTATGCAGGTCTACGTCTTCGTATAGTTTCCATATAACGGTACCGATATTATCCGTCGGAATTGTTTCAAATTTCGTATTTGGAAATCTTAATTGGTACTACAGCCTATGGCAAAAAATTACTTATGCAGATCCACGTCTTCATATAGCCCCTGTGTAAAGGTTATAATTTAAAAGGTATTTTTCGGAATTTGTTGTTCCTTCCAAAGGGTCCCGGTCGAACTTAGCTGCTTTTTTACTTATTTTCATATGTAGTCGCTCCTACTACTTTGAGAAATTTGATGTATATCATCGTTTCATCTATCTAATACCTAGATAATGATTTATCATTATATATTATGTATAACGCCATATATAAGACACATGATAGTATTGTAGTGTTTTTTTTTTATCACAAGCCATCCATAGTTTTCATGGAAATATATTTCTTAAAATTTCATTGCATACGAGTTCATAAAAACTAATTTCTTAAATTTCACTTTGCCAATTCTGTTATAACTATAGAGAAATTCCATCTATCCAATACCCAGAAGTATTAACTTTTTATAAAAAGATTTTTGACATTTTACTACATTCTTGATTAGATTTCGACATTGTAAAAGCCATCTATGCCTCAAACAATAGATCTTATGGAAACACATTTCTTCGAATTTTCTTACACACGAGATCATAAAAATGACTATTTCCTAAATTTCAACTTATAAATACTTTACAACAGTACTTAAAAGATTTGTATTTTATGCAAAGATTTTTTATATTTCACTACATGTTATGACAAACGCCATCTACAGCTCACTTGATAGTTCACGTGGCTGCAAGAAGTTTCCCACGATCAAGAGCATAAAACTAGCAAGTTCCTATAATTTCCATCTATGTATACTTCTAATACTTTTGAAAATTTTTATTAATCCAATACCTAGAAGAATATGAATTTAGTAAAAAGGTACTTGTACATAGAACAGACGCCATCTATACCTCAACGTTTATAATGATTTTTGTATAATGTTTCTTAGAAGCATGAAGTGATTCCTGAGTCTGTGAGAAACTTGATCTATCTCATACCTAGAGGGAGTAGAATTTTGCATAAAGATTCCAGATGTTGTACTGTAAGTCATAATGAACGCCATCTATACCTCATGTTCCATGTTATTTTATAATAGAGTTGTGATGGCAAAACGTAATCTTTTCAAACTATTTTAAGAGTTTGAACACATTAAGTAATCAGAATTCTTGTGAAATGATTAGCAAACGAAAATACATAAAAATGTAAAAAATAGTACAACGGACACCATTTTAAATTTAATGGTTTTCACATGTTTGTTGTGCTCCAGAACTTTTTTAATGATTATTTTTTAATCACTTTTAAATGAGAGAATTGTTAAATTCCCTCCGGGAGAACTGCTTTAGAAGTACGGAAACGAAAACCCAGCAAAAATTTCAAATTTAGATGGCATTCCTTTAAAATCAATATATCAGCCAATCAGAAGCTGACAACGATGTTACTATTTTTTACTCGAACAAATTTTTCTAGCCAAAAGTAGTGAAATAAAACAAGTAAAAAAGCGGTAAGTTTGGTAAATCCGTTAAAATAAAAAAACGAGTAAAGAAAGTCCTAACGTCGGGCGGGGTCGATTTTATGATACCCTACACCACTTTGCTAATTTAGTTGAGCTCCACATAACAATTAAAAGTTTTTATGGGAGAATTCAATCATATGTCCTTTGATTATAATTATAATTTAAAATTCAAAGGACTAAATATGCCGAAACATTTGTATCTTTTAAATTCGGACTTGTATTGCCGATTTGGTGCAAAATTAATTTGAAATCAGATAAAGATATATATGGGAGCTATATCCAAATCTGAACCGATCTCGATAAAATTTGACAAGATATTTCTGAGCTGTATTCGATATATTTCCTTGAATATCGTTGTTACAGAGTGCATATTACGGCTGTGGGTAACAAATACAACAAATCGGATGAAAAATATATATATGGGAGCTATAGCTATATCTGAACCGATCTTCACCAAATTTGGCATACTACCTTCTAGACTTAATTTGGTCATATGTACCAAATTCCATCCCATTTGGGCAAATATTAGACGTTTGGTGCACAATAAAATATAAATCGGACGAAGTTATATATGGGAGCTATATTTAAATCTGAACCGATCTCGATACATTTTAGCAAAGGTATTTCTGAGCTGTATTTGATATATTTCCCTGAATATCGTTGTTACGGAGTGCATATTACGGCTGTGGGTAACAAATACAACAAATCGGATGAACAGTATATATGGGAGCTATAGCTATATCTGAACCGATTACACTAAATTTGGCATACTACCTTCTAGACTCAATTCGGTCGTATGTGCCAAATTTCATCCCATTAGACGTTTGGTGCACAATAAAAGGTAAATCGGACGAAGTTATATATGAGAGCTATATCCAAATCCGAACCGATCTGGATAAAATTTAGCAAAGGTATTTCTGAGCTGCATTTGATATATTTCCCCAAATATTGTTGTTACAGAGTGCATATTACGGCTGCGGAGGACAAAAATAACAAATCGGATGAACAATATATATGGGAGCTATAGCTATATCTGAACCGATTTCGATCAATTTTGGCATACTTTTTTTTAGGCCTAAGTTGGTTGTATGAGCAAAATTCCATACTATTCGGACTGATATTACAAGTTTGGTGCACAATAAAAGGCAAATCGGACGAAGATATATATGGGAGCTATATCTAAATGTTTACCGATTATCTCCAATTTCAATAGGGTTCGTCCTTGGGCCAAACACATGTTGTGTGGAAAATTTCATCTCAATCGGATAATAAATGCGACCTGCATTTTGTTCACAAGAATACATGGACAGACGGACTGACAACTCAGAAAGTGATTCTATGCAGATCATCAAAAGGAACTATGGGTCTATCTCGTTTCCTTTTGCCTGTTACAAACAAATGTACAAAGACATAATACCCTGACCACCTTGTGGTGTAGGGTATAAAAACAAATGTAGCCGCCATATTAGGGTCTAAACGACGACGTGGACCTTCATAGGCAACTTTTGTCATAAGCCATTAGAATATTCTAATGCGAAAAAAATATAATAATGTAGCTAAAATCACCAAAATACCGAATATTGGGAGGAACTTTTATATCGGGGCTATGCCAAAATGCGGACCTGCACAGACAATTTTCTGCCAAATTTGAAACAGTTCCGATGAAAAATATAGCTAAAATCACCAAAATACCGTTATTTGGGGGCTATACGACAATTTTCTGCCTGAGGCTGCATTATCCATTACGGACTTCAAAAACCAAATTTGAAACAGTTCCGATGAATAATGTCGCTAAAATCATCAAAATACCGAATATCGGATTTTTTATTTATTGATAGGTACTGAAGGAAATTGTATTAAGAAATTGTCATGCCAAATTTCTTTGATATCAATGCTTTTCAGTGCTTTAGGTGACAGGAAATGAAAAACGGGCCTAGTATGATATTGGGGAGAGATTTTATCGCCCATATTGTCCTTTGTAGAACCATTCTGCCTTAAAAGCACTATATGTCTTTCCTTCTCACAACTTTGGTCCTTACAGCATTTTTAATCGCAATCGATGGCATATGTTTGGCGATGAAACAGGTTCCAATATGTTTATAAAACCTAATGGTGTTGAAATCCAATATCTTATCAATAATACTTTTCAATTCTGTTATTATTTTTGAGATCCCTTAGTTGTTTAGCTTTTGATTTCATTACAATATTTATATAGTTTGTGAATTATTCCAACGTACTCCTTAGTATATTCCCCATATTCCTCCCAACAAACTTCTTACATATAAAATACTAAAATACCTTTAAAACAAAACTCAAAATACAAAAATACTAAAACCAAACTTTTAAATTCTAACACCAAATACACAAAATGCATTTCCCGCTCATTCCGCTGACAAAACATCACTTTCAATGCATGACACTGTCTCTCTCGCTCTTCCTTTTACTCTTCGTGTATGACATTGATCATTTTCGAACCTGCATCATGTTGCATCTCTTGTTTCGTGCCATGGAATTTTACCCTCTAACTGGCATAATCATTTCAATGCTTGACTCTCTATCGCTCTCATGCACTCTCTTTCGCTCCCTCTCTCTTTTTGCTACAATACACTCAAACCTCCCTGATCTTCTGGTTTCATATCACGAAACCCATTTCCCTTTCCAAAAAAATAAAACTTCTCTGCACTGTAAATATATATAGTCAATCGTATTATTCATCATTACAAACATGCAGATGATCATCAGCGTCATGAACAGCACCATCACAACCACCAACAACAACAGCAAATACGCAATCAAAGTCCCAGTCCCAAACTCCATCAACGTAAAAAACAAACAACACTCCACAACACCATTACCAACATCAACCAACATCATCATCACCTGAATCAGAATCATCATCACCACAACACAATGCCCCTACCCTATACCCACCTCAACAATCATATCCACAATTCCCATTTGAGTCCAAATAACACCACCAACGCTCTCATGCGCAAATCACCATCACAAACCAATCCGGCACAATATCAGAGAACATCGACGTCTGCCAACAATCATCATCTACGTATCCCTCATCAAATGCGTGGCACAGTAATTTCAGATATTTCCTTTGAATCAGGCCTATCCGACGATTATGCTTTGCCGCCCGATGCTGTGTCTGAGTCCACGTGTCCCATGGATGCCAGTATGCCATCGCTGTTGATGCGACAATCCTATGTGGATTCGCCCAGTAAGAAATTGGAATCATTGGAAAAGGTAAGTGGAGCATGAAATTTCCCCTAGAACAGAAAAAACAATCATTTTAACCATTCTCCTCATAGGCTGGTCATTTGGCCAAATTGGGTGGCAAGCTGAAGACCTGGCGCAAACGTTGGTTTGTTCTGAAAAACGGCACCCTGACCTACTGGAAAAGTCAACACGACATTAATCGCAAACCCCAGGGTCAAATAATGCTCGATGAGGCATGTCGCATTAGCAAGGCTGAGGGGGCCTCAACATTTGAAATTGATACCGGGAAGAAAGTCTATTATCTCACTGCCGATTCCAATGCCACAATGGATGATTGGATCAGGGTGTTGCAAAATGTCCAGAGAAGGAATGCCACTAAACTGCTGCTAAGCCGAGAAGATCAAAAACCCACACTGCAGGGTTGGGTTACTAAGGTTAAGAATGGTCATGCCAAGAAATGTTGGTGTGTTCTGCTGGGGAAGATGTTTTTGTATTTCAAGGCACCCAATGAAACGGTAAGTCGTAACAGAATCTCCCATTATACAACAAATACCAAAAAGTTTATTGTTTCAGAATCCCCTGGGTCAAATAAATATGCGTGATGCTCGCGTCGAAGAAGTAGAACATGTTTCCGATTCAGATTCCGAGGAAAGAGAAGATCCCCAAAGTCAGGCCCATTTAACGGTAGCCATATATCCTGCCCACCAGGGTCCCACATACTTGATATTGCCCAGCAAAGCGGAACGGGATAATTGGTTGTACAACCTAACCGTGGTTTCAGGTGGTGGACCCAGTGCCGGCACACAGTACGAACAACTGGTTCAGAAGCTCATGGAAACCGATGGAGATCCTAGTAAGTTTTCGAGACACATCCAGTAGAATCAAGATAAGTTGTGTGAAGTAAAGATGGGTTACCATTGCCAATTTTCAAAAATAATAAAACAGTCATAGGATATAACCAGGAGCTTTCTGGATTGAGTTGACTAGGGTTATAAAAAATATATGTGGCCCAAGCTGGAGATATGTTCGATACATTTTCGCCAATGCACATCCAATACGAATTTAGCTATCCTGAACGAAATTAGCTAACAAGACTACACGGGTTTGTTTTGAAAGATACACGGGTTTGTCTATGACTGCATTTGTATTAGAAATATCGGGATGTGTGAAATTTGAAGGGAATCGGATGCTTCTAACGTATTTTTAAGCGTTTTGGTTATTCTAAATGTTTACTAATTGTGGGGGAGGTACCAAAGGGAGTGGACGGATATATTCCATCTTCACGCCATATGTTGTGTTGGCAGAAATATTGGGATGTGGTAAGTTTGAAAATAATCGGATGGTCATTTCCCGTTTTATGAGCTCCATAGTTATTCAAAATTTCCACTCGTTGTGGGGGAGGTACCAGAAGGAGTGGTCTGATATATTTCATCTTCACACCAGATTATGTGTTGATAGATGAATTGTGGTGTGTTAAATTTGAAGAGAATCGGATATATATTTTGCAAATTATAAGAGATATAATTATTCAAAATATTGACTCTTTGTGGAGAAGGTACCAGAAGGAGTGGACCGACACAATCCATCTTCACACCAGATCTTTGGCAAATAAAAATATTGTTTTGTACAAAAATTGAAGAGAATCGGATGCTTACCTCGCATATTATAAGAGTTATAATTATTCTAGGTTTTGACCCTTTGTGTGGGAGGTACATTTTGAAGTGGACCTGACCTAGAGCTGATACAAATATTGGGATTTGCAAAGTTTGCACAAAATGGGATGATCCTTTCTTGTTCTATAAGAAAAATAATTTTCTGTGAAAATTTTGATCTTTTATGGGGGAGGTACCAGAAGGAGTGGACTGATATGGCCCATCTCCGAACTCGACCCAAGTTTGATAATAATATATTTGGACCAAATCCCTTCAAAAGTTATCGTGCGCACCAGCCAGCCAGAAAGACGCGCGGACGGACATCGCTAGATCGACTTCAAATGTCCTGAAACGGATTTGGTCCAAAGAGACCTAGAGTCTAAAACTTGTATTTCGACTTGGTGCGATTTGACAGTATCAAATGATACACAGGGTGAGATGAAAAAACTGCAACGAATTTCAGACTGCTGTCATATCTAAGCCACTCGTCCGACAGCTGTTAAAATTTTTCCAGTGACAGCTCATTATATTGTTTACAAGCGTACAAAAGCATTTTGGTGAGAATTTTTCAGAAAAAAAGATAAGCATATTAGTGAGATTTCTGTATATTTGGCTGTTGGTTGAAAAACAACAAGTGGCTATCGTTAGTGCACTCCAGCATTTAAATGTGAATAAATTTTTTGTTTCTCGTACCATCGCCTGTTATCGTGATATTGGTAGAGTAGCCCGACATCATGGAAGTGGACAGAAGAAAACAGCAACATCAGCTGAAATGATTCGAAAAGTAAAGAAGCGAATTGATCGAAACCCGCGTCGCAATGGCCGAAAAATGGCTCGTGAGCTGAACATATCGCAATATTCCATTCGGCAAATATAGAAAAATGAGAGAGTGCAAGAACACAACAGAAAGAAACAGACTCAAAAGTTTTCTAGCAGTTTGGAAACAAAACAAAGTGATCGTGTTTACTTGCCAAAGAGATCAGCTGAAAATGTGCACCTTCGATTGGTGTGGGCCGCCATAACAGCCGATGGTCGCTCTCCGCTCACTGTGGCGTTAGAATAAATGCCGAATATTATCGCGAAAATATTCGAGAGGTTGTTTCAAAGCGTTGGGCACGCGAACATTTTGGCCGCAGAACTTGGACATTCCAACAGGATTCTGCACCATCGCACACAGCACGCAAGAATGGTTACAAAATGAGGTTCCTTGCTTCATTTCCGTTGGACTATTGTGTCTAGATTTTTTGGAAACTAAAATGAAACCAAAGCGTCTATCACCCCAAGCAAGCGCTTCGCCAGAAATGAGCCAAAATACCGCAGAGCAACATTCGGGCAGCCTGTGACTTTTTCATTGGCCGTTTGAAGGCCATAATTCGTGCCAAAGGTGACCAATTCGAACAAATCTAAGCAAATTCTAAAAGTTGATGCTATTTCCGACTTTTTTTGCTTCCATTCAATAAAATTAAAAAGAATGTAAAAATTATGGCGTTTGACTTTGTTGCAGTTTTTTTTATCTCACCCTGTATACCCTCTCTAGCCATGTGGCTTAGATTATAAAAATTGTAATTAGCTGATTGCTGTGCTATACCTCTTTATTGCACCATGCACAAGTCGACTTTTTCGCAATCGTCTAATACCATGTTCTCATTGGCATTTTAACTAAGTTACCGAATGAAAAAATAAAAAATAATTACTGAGCTGCTTGGATAAAAATAATGGGCCGAAAAACGATATCCGTTCAATATTTACGATTTGACACATTAAATTTTTACGAATTATTTTACTGTACGTCTGATAAATACCCGTTGCTAACGGTTTGACAGTTCATTGTCCCAGCAGCTGTGTCGATGCGACTACCTGTATTCTTCTACCATGTACCCTCTCTAACCATATGGCTCAGGTTATAAAAATTTTAATCAGCTGATTGCTGTGCAACACCTTTTTAATGCACCATGTACAAGTCGACTTTTCTCTCAACCGTGTTCTCATTGGCATTTAAACTAAGTTACCAAATGAAAAATAAAAAATAATTGTTGAGCTCCTTGGATAAAATTGATAGGCCGAAAAACGACATCCATTCTATATTTACGCCTTCACACATTCAATTTTTACGAATTATTCTAGTGTACGTCAGATAAATACCAGTTGCTAACGTTTTTCCTCTCTTTTATATCTCTCTCTCTCTCTCTCTCTCTTCCCAAAATCATAGACTGTGTCATTTGGCGCCATCCTATTTTGCTGCACACCAAAGACACCATTTCAGCGCCCATGTGTACACTGCACACCGAAAGTATGCACCAGGAAGCCATTAAACTATTCAAGGTATGTAAATTATATCCTTTTTCCTATTACAACAACATGGAAATTAAATATTAAACTCTCTCTCTTTTCTCTTCCACAGAGCATTCAATTGTTTATGTCGGTGGCCGTGAATCAGCCTGGCATCGATTATCATGTTGTGCTGGCCCAAAATGCTTTACAACATTGCCTGGACATGCCCGAATTACATTCGGAAATGTTTTGCATTTTAATTAAACAAACATCCCGGCACACGGGCCAAAAGCTTAGTGTTGGCGTCCAGGTAAACAAGAAACTGGGCAAGCAGACGCGCGTAAGTTTTTTAAGTTGCAAATTGCTTCTTGTTTCCTTTCTCTTTGTTTTTGTTTGGTTTTAGTTGAACGTTTTTAGTTTGAATTAGTTTTAGATTGTCTTCGGTTTGTGTTGATTGTCATTGTTTTAGTTTAGTTATGTTTTAGAGAAAACTACCAACCAATTAACTATTACTCACCCACTCCTCCGTTTGAGTCCACAGAGAACCTTAGAGAACACTAACAACAACAATAACACAACATAAACATCACACAACAAGTGAAAGCGGATCGAGCAAGCTATTACGAATTCGCCGTAAGCACAATGCAGCAAAGAAAGAAATATATTAGATTGAAAAATTTTAAATACTTTTAAGGATGTTTTAATTATTTCATAGCATTTTTAGATCAAAGGTTTTACAGGGTAACTTTCTAGTTTCTCATCTCAGCTTGGTCAGATCTGCAAATCAATGTTTCAGAATTTGCTACGAAAACACCGAGAAAACCCGAAATCTCTTACCGATGTCTGTTCGGACTCTGGTATCAGATTTTATACCCACCACCTTGAAAAAGAGGGTATATCCACTTTTCCATTCTGTTTGTAACATCCCTAAATATTCGTCGTAGACCCCATAAAGTACATATTTTCATAATCAGCATACAATTCGATTTAACGATGTCCGTCGGTCTGTCTGTTGAAATGACGATACAGCCCACATTATTTGACATAAAACTTCTAAATTTGGTACAAAAATTTGTATTGTATCTAAGATGGTTGGTATTGAAAATGAGATATATCAGTCCACGATTTCGTATAGCCCCCATAAAACGGTACCTCCCCATATTATGAAATTGGATGATTTTTGCCACATTTTTTCAAGGATTTGTCTAAACTTTTGTATTTGCAGATCATAATGGATTCTACCTCCGGCGGTGGAACATTGTATGTATAGTTCCACGTTTTCGTATAGCCCCCATATAATGGTACCACCCGATATTCAACATTTTGATTATTTTTGCCACATTTTTCCACGGGTTTGTCTAAAAATTGGTATTTGTAGTTCTTGCTCCGGTGGCAGAACATTGAATATCCATATAACGGTACCCACCGATATTCGGTATTTTGATACTCCAAGTCAAATTTACCAACGATTTTTTTTTTTCAAATTTGACATTTTAAACTCTCATTAGATAACCATCGTTGTAATATTAAAGATGTCTATGCAGGTTGAGATAAAAAACTGCAACAAATTCAAACGCCATTATTTTTAAAATTTTTTTGAATGGAAGCAAAAAATGTCGGAAATAGCATCAAATTTTAGAATAAGTTTAGATTTGTTCGAATTGGTCACCTTTGGCACGAACGGCCAATGAAACCGTCACACACTACGCGAATGTTGCTCTGCGGTATTTTGGCCCATTCCAAGTATTTTGGCGCGTTCTAAGTACGATGGTGCTGAGTCCTTTTGGAATGTCCAAGGTCTGCGGCCAATATGTTTGCGTGCCCAAGGCTTTAATACACTCTCCAGAATATTTTCGCGTGGCATTTATTCTGATGCCACGATCGATTAATACGAGCGGATAAGAACCATCGGCTTGAGTTCTGGTGGCCAACCGAAGGTGCACATTTCCAGCTGACTTCTTTGGCAAGTAAACATGATCATTTTGTTTGTTTACAAACTTCTGGACAACGAATGTTTTCTTATCGGAGAAAACTGAATTCGGCAAATCACCTCTTTCGGCCAAGCGAAGCAACTCTTTAGCTCTTTTGAGTCTATTTTCTTTCTGTTGCCGTGTAAGTTCTTTCACTTTCTGGAATTTCAATGGCTTTACCCCGAGCTCATTTTTCAATATTTGCCGAATGGAATATTGTGATATGTTCAGCTCACGAGCCATTGTTCGGCCACTGCGACGCTGGTTTGGCTCAAGTCGCTTTTTTATTTTTCGAACCATTTCTGCTGATGTTGCTGTTTTTACCGTCCACTTCTTTGACGTTGGGCTACGTTACCAGTATCACGGTAACGAGCGATGTTACGAGACACAAAAGATTTATTCACATTTAAATGCTGGAGTGCTCTAACGATAGCCACTTGTGGGTTCCAGCCGAATTCCATCAGGAATAACGTTTTTTTCTTAAAAATTCTCACAAAAGTGCTTTTGTACGCTTCTAAACAATATAATGATATGTCACTGGAATAATTTCAACAGATGTCGGACGAGGGGCTTAGAACTGACAGCAGTCTGAAGTTGGTTGCAGTTTTTTCATCTCACCCTCATGATCAGCATAAAATTCTAAGTCGATTTATTGATTATTTCTCATAAAGCTTCAAAATTTGGCACAACAATTATTATTGTGTCTAGCATGGTTGTTATTGAAAGTGACATTTTCGTATAGCCCCCATATAACGGTACCTCCCGATATTCGGTATTTTGATGATTTTTTGAAACATGTATCAAGGATTTGTCAAAACATTAGTATTTGTAGGCCATAATGGGTTCTATCTCCGACGGTGGAACAATGTATGTATAGGTCCACGATTTTGCATAGCCCCCATATAACAGTACCTCCCGATATCCAATATTTTGATGATTTTTGCCTCATTTTTCCATGCATTCGCCTAAAAAGTGGTATTTGTAGTCCTTAATGGGTTCTCGCTCCGGTGGCAGAACATTGTCCATGTTTTCCTATAGCGCACATATAACGGTATCCAGAAGGGAACAAATATATTGTAGGTGTGAATCTCCAGATTTCTGTCCTAAAATGCAAAATATGTAGGTGTAGACCATGGTAATATTCCAAAGTGAAAAGTGTCTGTTTTACAAAATCTTTACCCGGACTAACTGTGATAATTAATCGGTCAAAATAAATTGAATGTGTTTTTTCATAAGTCTAACTTTTTGTGATTTAACGACTATCACCGTCAACACAGATAAAGGTTTTTATGTAAAATTTATTCTGTAAAGGAAAAGGTGTACCGACAACTATTTATTTTACTTTCCACAGTTAGATCCCTAACTTCAAAATTTGACTTCATTCACAATAGTATTAGTATTATCATTTTCAACTTTATAATGACACAAGAATCCGGTGCTCCACAGCTGATTATTCGATTAGCTGTCAAAACCCTTATTGCGATTAAAATCACAGTACGAAAGACAAAACAAATCTTGAAATTGCGTCTTATTTTGTCATTACATTATGGTTAGTTCTCAAAACCTCCCAACAAGTTCAATCATTATTATTTTTCATTTCAAAACTATGTCTTAAATAACAGTTTTCTTATTCCAACAGTTTTCTCTTTCGAAGCGTATGATTGTAATTTTTCTTTGTCATTCGCTTTTAAAAAAATATTTTGCATATTTCAAATTCTCACTCTCGGTGAATTGAATTCGACAAAGCTTTTTCATTAAATTACGTACAGCTTTAAATGCGGCTTTCACTATTATTAAGTTGATGTTGTTTCATTAAAAAAAAATATATATATTTAAACACAAACACCTAAACCTTTTTATTGTAAAAAAGTCCTGTATTTTTGTTAAAGTGTAAATTAGTATAATTAATGCATGCCAATTATTAATATCAATTAATAAGTAACGCAATTAAAAATTATACCAAACAAAATATTTAAGAAATATACAAAACAAAACGAAAATAGGAAACAAGGAATCGAACGAAATTGAAAAAGTAATTTGGTCACATAATGTTAATGTTTACTGTGGGTTTAAATTGCTAATTCCATTGCATATATGTCAAATAAATCCTCATAAAAAGTGGCTTATCCGACAAAACAAGGAAGAGTTTTAAATTAAGAATAAATGAAAATAATAGTCTGACGCATGGCCCAATTACAATGTCGACTAGAAGTATCTTGCAGGTTTTGGAACAGAGCAATATATTTTCAAAATTTGTTGTTGGTGCGCCAAAAATATATATTTTTTTCGCCAGGACATAAATATAAATGAATGAATTCCTGCTTGTCAATATTAACAAAACGAATTTTGTGAAGAAACCTATATTTCTATGCAAAAGCTAAACTCGTACAGCTTACATTTATAAGGCAACACTGTTTCGAACTGCGTCCAACTTCACGCGATTGTTAGAAAATGTTTTTGGGAAATTCTCTAAAACCTAATTTATCACAAATTTGCAAGCGTAAATATTTAATAAAAATAAAAAGACAGCGATTACAATCCTCTTTTGAAGTGGGAAATTAAGTAATTAAACATTACAAAAACCATAGCCGATCTACAGTTCAGTACATCATAAAGGAAATAAATCAAAAACGGCAAATAATTACCTTGAGTGAAGAGAAATACAGGGTGAGATGAAAACACTGCATCCAACTTCAGACTGATGTCAATTCCAAGCCACTCGCCCGACAGCTGTTAAAATTATTCCAGTGACAGCTCATTATATTGTGTACAAGCGTACAAAAGCATTTTGATGAGAATTTTCCCGGAAAAAAATTATTCGTGATGGAATTCAAGCGTGATGGTGTGATGGTCTTTATATTGGCATCAGAATAAATGCCGAATATTATCGCGAAAATATTCTGGAGGGTGTATTAAAGCCTTGGGCACGCAAACATGTTAACCGCTGGCCTTTGGACATTCCAACAGGACTCAGCACCATCGCACTTAATACGAAATGAGGTTCCTCGCTTCATTTTCAGCGCACAATGTCCACCAATCTCCGGATACCAATCCGTTTGATTATGGTGCCTGGAGTATTTTGGAAAGCAAGGTTGACACTTAAAAAGTATAAATGTGTCGATCACCTCAAGCAAGCGCTTCGCCGGGAGTGGGCCAAAATACCACAGAGAAACACTCGGGCAGCGTGTGACGGTTTCATTCCCCGTTTGGTGGCCATAATTCGTGCCAAAGCTGACCAATTCGAACAAATGTAAACTTGTTCTAAAATTTGATGCTATTTCCGACATTTTTTGCTTTCATTCAATAAAATTAAAAAAAAAAAAATAAAACTTATGGCGTTTGACTTTGTTGCAGTTTTTTATCTCATCCTGTATATTCTTGATCAGCATAGAATTTTATGTCGATTTAGAGATTTTCGTCCGTCTGGCCGTCTGCGGAAATCACTCTAGCTTCCGAACGAAATGAATTAGGTTGATAAAATTTTACTCAAATGTAAATTATGTCTGCAGAACTTTTGGTATTGAAAATGGGTCATGTAGGTCCACGTTTTTGTATAGCCCTTATGTAATGGTATCTCCCTATTTTCGGTATTTTGGCGATTTAAGCGACATTATTCACCGGAATTGTTTCAAATTTGGTATTTGAAGTTCCTAATGTATACTACAGCCTAAGACAAGAAACTGTTTGTGCAGATCCACATCTTCGTATAGCCTCCCGATATTCGGCGCCTCCCGATATTCGGTATGTTGACTGTAAAGGCGGCAATTACAAAACGTCACTCCTTAGGAAATGTCATTACCTTTGACATTATGTACGAAGTACAAAGTCGTATTAAGAGGTAGTAGACATTATCTAAGGAGGAGAAAAATCACCCGTGTTACAAATATGTAATATTAACGCAATTTAATGAAAATTCAGTTTGAAATTAAACACGGTATTTTTACGATTTTAGCTACATTATTCACCGAATTTTTTTTTTCAAGTTTCGCATTTGAATATTGTAATGGCTTATGACAAAAGTTGCCTATGCAGGCTACATTCGGTATTTTTAAGATTTTAAAAGAATTTTTACGGGATTTTATCTATTTATTTATTTATTTTTTGAAAATTGCCAAATTAGTTTCAATTGGTGTAAATTTTTTACTTGTTTTTCTTTTACATTCAAATACTTATGTTTAGATTTTCCGGTTTTTTTTTGAGTAAATGGAATAAAATTTTGACGTATATTGTAGTTTTCAAAATACGCTTACAGAAAATGTAGGTATCAGCTGGGCTTACTTGTCGACCTTTTAATTGGCTCAAATTCTAACCTTTTGCTTAGCTGGCAGTTCATAGTTAAATTAAACTTGTAATAATTTGTCCAACAACATCATTTCTTATCTATCGGAAAGATGTAATAACCGGCCATAGAATTATAAAGATAGGATTAATCAGAGTCAAGATAACGACACCATTCTGCGAACTATTGGTATTTTGTATCACATAATCTGTTCCTTGTTTTCCATTTTCCTAGACAATATGAACTGTTTTGTATATTTCTTAGTTTAAATAGTATATAATGTTTTATTTGGAATAATGTACACCTAGCCCAAAAAGTATTGATCAATGCCGTTTAAAACTTGTCTTTACCACAACTTTTTTTATATTAACCATTTTTAAATAAAACAAAATAAAAATGCATACATTTTTACATTAAAAGTAATACAACAACAACAAAAGCCAACACCAAACTTTAAATAGATGAACAAATAAACTTACATACACCACCGTACATACATGTAATTGCTGTAAATTTTCCGATTTTCTTTGTGACGAAAAAAAAAATAGAAAAAAATTAAAAAATTATTAAATAGCAGCATAGTTTATTTATAAATACAGATTACAAAAAAAGAATGTTTATTTATAAACAAAAAAATAAAATAAGCAACAATATAAACCTATCTATGTTCTTTCATGCTTTATATGCAATTTTTACTCTCTACATATAAAATAAATATATATTTACATATATAAATAGTTAATCAGTTTGTTATGTATAAAAGAAATTATATAATGACATTAGGAAAATTATATGTGTGTGTGTTTTTCGCCACTACTTACATATTTACTTACCATAGATGAGCATTTTTTCTTCTTCTTCTCAGTGCATTAGTTTGTTGTCGTTCTTTTTATTTTTAAATAAAACTTAATTTCTTGTTTTGTTGTTATCCTTTTTTTACTGTGTTATGACAATTTCTTCTAACATTTTGGCGCTTTTTTATCCAAAACATTTAATTTTTTATATTTTTTCAATTGTTTTTTTTTTTTATCAATTTCTTGCAAATAAGAAATAGAACCAAACTGTGCCCATTAATCATCAATTAATATAAGGAAATTGTGTACACTGTAAAAAAAAAATTGTTGTTATTCAAAATTCTTTGAAATGAAAACAAAATTTTAATGCACTTTTTCCTGTTTCTCTTCTTTTGTTTATTTCTTGGCCAAATCTTGTTTTACCGTTTTTTTATTCCAAATCCAAATACAATCCAAACAATCAATCGATCAATCCAATCGCAATTGAATGACCAAAATTCTGAAAACCCAAATTCGAAATCGAACAATATACAAATTTACAGCAACTACTATTATGTGCCACGCAAAGTCTATTTGCCTGTGATACTCAGCAAAGTGGTAATGCTCAAGCAAATGGCAGTTCACCAACATCCTTGCAGGTATTGAAAAGGAGTTGTTTTAGTTTTCTAAGTCAATTACAAAAAAAAAATAACTACAAGCTAACCCCACTACCCTAACCCGAAATGCATGTAACTCTAACTTCTCCAAATCCTTCTTTTCAATAATTTCTGCCTCCCGATTAAACACCAATTTCAACCATTTTTTTGCTAATTTTTGTTTTTAGGCTCCTGTACCTCCTCCAATAATAGACTGCAAATCAAATCCTCCCGCCTACTCCTTCGTCCAAGGCTGGCAACTATTGGCCTTAGCCGTCTCTTTGTTTGTGCCCAAGTCCAGCCGTCTGCTGTGGTATTTAAAACTGCACTTGTCTCGTAATGCCGATTCGAAAACCGAAACCGGTAAATATGCTGCCTATTGTGAACGAGCTCTGGAGAGAACCCTAAAGAATGGTGGTCGCGAAACGAAACCCTCACGCATGGAAGTCTTATCGATTTTACTCAAAAATCCCTATCATCATTCACTGCCCCATGCCATACCCGTACACATGATGAATTCAACTTATCAGGTAAGTGAGAATGCGGAAGATAAATAAGTGAAGGTGTTTGGTCCGAAAAATGAGAAGAAACACATCAACGACCCATTGTCGGTATTCGTTATGTAGAAGACCTAATGAAGCTCTTTTGTCTATAGAAGCCCTGTTTGTGGGATGTTTATGCCCTCCATCATACATAGTATGTAGGGTATATTAAGTTCGTCATTCCGTTTGTAATTCGCCGAAATAATAATTTTAGACATAAAAAAGTATATATGTTCTTGATCAGCGCAAAATTCTAAGACGATCTGGCCCTGTCCGTCGTTGTAATCACGGTAGTATCAAAACGAATAAATATAGGAAGCTAAAATTTTGCAGGCAGATCAAGTTCGAAGATAGGCTATATCGGTCCACGGTATTGTATAATCCCCATATAACGCCCCCCCCCCCCCAATATTCGGAATTTTGGGGATTGTAGACAATTTTTTTCAATAAAATTGTTTGAAAATCCACAAAAGGAGTTCCTCCTGAGTAATTTACCCCCTGGAAGAGTATTATCTATATAGATCAACGATATCGTATATCCCCCTAAATAACGGCACCTTCCTACATTCGGCATGTTGATAATTTAAGCTACATTTTTCGATGGAATTGTCTAAAAATTCATACAAGAAATTCTTTCTAAGCACTTTGCCCCGTGGGAGAGAAATGGATATGTAGACCCATGTCTTCGTATATTCTCCATATAACGATACCCCCCTCCAATATTCGGTATTTTGATAATTTTAGCGACAAAACAACTCCGGTGGTTTCAAATTTCGTATTTAGAGTTCGTAATGGAAACTATAGTCTATGACAGAAAATTGTCTATGCAGGTCCTGGTCTTCGTATAGGCGCCATATATCAGTACCTTCCTATATTCCGAATTTCGACGATTTTAGGTACATTATCCACCGAAATTATTTGAAATTTTGTATTTAAAGTTCCTAATAGGTACAGCCTGTGACAGAAAATTGTCTATGCAGGTCCAGGTAGCCTCGATATAATGGTACCTCCCTATATTCATCATTTTGATGATTTTAGCTACATTCTCCAAATCTTTCTTTTCAATTATTTCTTCTTCCTGACTACATCTTAAACAGCAATTTTTCCCAATTTTTGTTTTTTAGGCTCCTGATCCGATTTTTATTTCAAGTTTCGTATATGAATATTGTATGAACTTATGACAAAAGTTGTCTATGCAGGTCCACGTTTTCGTATAGACCCCAATATAACGGTAATATTTGGTATTTTTAAGATTTTAACGGATTTTATTTTTCAAATTCGTTCCAAGTGGTGGAGGGAATTCAAAGTTCGACCCGGCCGAATTTACTGCTTTTTTACTTATTTTTATTTATGACCAGTATTTTTATTTATGAGAGATAACATATTTAGTATTTTATTCTATCAAAGAGGGCTAATTGGAGCTCTTATATAAAGGTCTTATATGCTTCCATCTATAGAATACTCATGGCCTTCTATACATAGAATACCTCCTGAAATCTTTTATCCATAGACAATATTTCTAGATCTTCTTATGCGACGTTCTGCAGATATACCTAACGATAGAAAATGTTTGAAGGTATTATGTTTATAGAAGACCTAATAACCGTCCGCGTAGAAGTCCTCCTGAAGGTATTATTCTCCTACAAGAAGGTCTATCATTCAAAGAAGACATTCTGCGAGTTTACTGTACGTTAAGAACCTTTTGTATCCTCAATGTATGATCTCCAGAACACCTTCTAGTCATAGAAACCGTATTGAACGTATTTTACAGACGATTTCCTGATGGTCTTCTATTCGTAAATGATCATATTAAGATTGTATAGTACTAGAAGTCGTCCTGAGGGTCTCAATTTCTAAAAGATCTTAAGATCTTAAGTTATTTGGGTAAGAGGAGACCTTATAGTCACCTAAGTCCTTTTGAAGTTCTTGTAGTCTTAAAAACCCGCAGATGTCTTCTAGTCTTGGAAAACGCATACTTCGCACATATATATTCGCCTTCCTCACTATTCCAAATGCCGTCAGAATCAAAAATCAAAATTTTCGGTAAAAAAATGTCTTGACCTTCTTAAAGAGATTTCTGCAAATCTGTTCTTTTTATCATCTGCCTCTTCTTTATCGTATTGTTCTAGAGAATCATATTTACATTCGCCTTCCTTATTTTTGGAAATGCCATAAGAATCAGAAGAGTACTTCTAGTCAAAAATTAAGGCGCAAATGTCTTGACCTTCTTAAAGAGATGCCCTTGCAAATCAGTTCCTTTTATATTTTACAGCTTCTTTATTGCACTGTTCTGGAGAATCATATTAATATTCGCCTTTCTCACTCTTCGAAATGTCATCAGAATCAAAAGTGTAATTCTGATCAAATTTTACGGCAGAAGTGATTCATTGTTCATCAGAATCGTCCTCATAATCGCCTTTATCATTCATCGAAATATCATCAGAATCTAAAGGCACTTCCAATCTAATTTTACGGCATAAGTATTTTGGAAGAGATGTCTTTGCAACCATGTTCCTCTTATCATCTGTAACGTTCTTTAGAATTTTCCTCCTTGAAGAGATGTTTTTGCAAGCTTGTTCCTCTTATCTACTGTATTGTCCTTCGTTTTTGACATTCTTTGAAACTTCATCAGAATCAAAAGAGAACTTCCAGAAAAATAGCAAATCCGTTCCTCTTATGGTGTGAGTATATAAGCAGCTTGACATCATGGCTAGACATATTAATGTCAAATTATAAGGAAAAAAACGACAACAGTATTAAAGTGCGGCTCTGACATCCCTTTATGATATGTCACAAAATATGTCATTCGAAAGCCTCAAGCTTCTCCTGTACTCTCACATTTAGCTTTTCCCAGCACCTCAACCGCACTCAAAACTATATACAAACAATTTTGTACACCTTATTCAACGTATTCATATTTTAATTTTCTAATCGTTTTTCCCCTTTCTTCTCTTTCCCCACCCAGGTTGTTTCATTCGATGGCTCAACCACAATCGAAGAATTCCAAAGTACTCTGGCCCAGGAGATCGGCACACGTGATGCCTCCAATGGCTTCTGCCTCTTCAGTGATGATCCGATTGAAAAAGACCTGGAACACTATCTCGATCCCATGGCCAAACTGTGCGACGTCATCTCGAAATGGGAAACTGCCTTGCGCGAAAAGGGTTCGGGTAAATTCGAAAATACCCGCGTCATACAGTTGACCTACAAAAATCGCCTCTACTGGAAACACACTGTCAAATTTGAAACAGATAAGGAACGCCTGCTGCTGTGCTATCAGACCAACAGTCAAATTGTCCAGGGACGATTTCCCCTGTCACGTGATTTAGCTTTGGAATTGGCTTCACTAATGGCCCAAATCGATATGGGCGATTATTCGCATGAAAAGTCCAAGAGTGCCACCACAAATGTGGGCATCAAAGCATTGGATAAATTCTATCCATATCGTTATAGGGACGCTTTGAATCCCGAACAGCTGAAGGATATACAAGAATCTTTGATAACGAAATGGATACTGCTGAAGGGACGCAGCACTTTGGATTGTGTACGCATCTATTTGACCTGTTGTCGCAAGTGGCCATATTTCGGTGCCAGCCTCTTTCAAGCTAAACCTAGGCACTCGGATCAAGCCATGGCTTGGTTGGCGGTATCCGAAGATGCTCTCAACGTGCTGGAGTTGTCGACCATGGCTCCGCTGGCCAGATATCCTTACACCACGGTTATGACGTTCGGTGGTTGCCAAGATGACTTTATGTTGGTGGTTTCAAATGAAGACACCCTGGCTTCGTGTGGTTCACACGAACAGAAGCTTTTGTTTGCCATGTCGAAGCCAAAGATTTTGGAGATCACATTACTCATTGCTGACTATATGAATGCCTTGGGTCACACCGTGCCCGGGACGCCACACATGAATTCTTTGACGCGCAATGGTTCTCACAGATCTATAAGATCACGGCCACCAGGTGGTACGGGAGCCACCACAGTTGGAGGAACATTGTGTGGTAATACCACGGCTGGAATGTCAACAAATGCCACGACAACGGCCCACAATACTCTCAACTCTCATGCTACCCACACTCTGAACTCGAATCACTCACACACATTAAGTTCCTCACACTATAGTGGTGCCGACCATGGTGGTGGTGGTGGTGGCGGTACCAGATCACAGGGTGGTTCCCATCAGGGAACTCTCAACTCGTTGCATAGTCAAAATCACCATCATCATCACAATCCACATCAGCCGGATATTTTGAAGAGCACCCCCGATCACCAGAGAATAAAATAGAAGAGAATGAATTGTAAATAGCTGCAGCAACAGATATAAGTTACACACAAAGAGACTTTTCACATAACGGAAAAATTAAGAACATGCCTAGCTTAATAGGCATGAAAAATAAAAACAACCGAAAACAAAAAAAATTTTTCTAGAAAAACGATAAAACATTTTTATATGAAAATAAAAAACAACACCATGTAAATAAGTAGATTTAAGTTGAGGGCTGCAAGTGATTCAGAAAAACTAAAGTCGAAATTACAAAAAAAAAAAGAAAATAGATTTTTGGAAACTCCACTCTTTCCGAAAAAAAACAACCCAATAACCTAAGATAGAATAATTTTTTTGTTACACTATTTTAAGAATGACAGCAATTTATGTTTTTAGTTTCTTTATCAAAGACAATAGGAGGAAATTAGAAGCCTAACATTAGGCTAAGGAAAAGAAAATGTTACAGATTAAAGTAGGCTAAGAAAGTATGTAATTTATAGCAAAGCCTAAAAATAGGTTTTGTATTATATTCTAGGTATTGTTTTTTACAAATTTTTGTTAAATTTTATTTTGTATTTTTTATTTAAATTTCAAAGTTTGATCCCAGTTTTTTTTTAGAATAAGAAAGCTCAACTAATGATTATTTTATATTTAAAAAAATTATTTTAAAATATCTTATCACTCCCAATTTATATATATACCCTGTACCCTTTGTATAGCAAATACCTATATGAAACCACCACCCTCCCTATCTAACTATACCACATAGCTTAAAGCTTACACAAAAAAAAAACAACAACAAACAAAAATGAAGCCAAAAAAAACTACAACAATTATTCAGCTTATAACCAACCATAAACCAAGGCAAAGCACCAAAAAAGTAGGCTTTAGTTTTTTTGTAATTGTAATTATATAGCGAGACGAAACAAATGGCAAATAAAACAAAAACATAAGCAGAAAATATTATGAATGTTTTCCCTAGAAGCTAAGGAAAAATTAACGAAGTTAAGAAGGAACGAAATAAACACAACGCTAAGGTTTCAGTTGAATATTGGTGAAAACATTTTGGACAAATTTTGTTGTCCACAATATTGGAAATTTCTTTAAAAGAAAATTGAATCTTAGTCAACATTGGAGGAATTATTTTGGAGGGTACATAAGGAGATTAAATATTAAATAGAGATTAGGTTAGGTTAAAAAGAGGGGCGAAACAATTTGCCGCATGCCCCATTGGACATACACTTAAGCCACTAAGGCCTGTTGTGCGCTCTAGGCTAAGGGTTTTTTCGAAAGAAGACGGGCAGTTTACAGTCTTTTATAATTGAAATTCAGTTGCCTTTATGAAATTTCTTAACTGTTTTATATCATTTACCATGATCTGATTAAGGTCTCCGTAGTTCCCTAGAATTGGGATCTAATATTTGGGACCTGGGCATTGGCAGAGAAAATTTTCCAATGCTTCGTCATCTTCCCCGCATGTCCTGCATATGCTGTTATCTGCACATTCCATCTTGTACAGATGAGCTTTTAGGCCCAGGTGCTCTGTAAGGATGCTTGTTACCTCATTGATCTCCTTTTTACCTATTAATAAAATGTTATTCGCTTTTTATCTCATTGGATCGCCCCATAAGATTTTTGTGGTTTTCCCTACGCCCTCATTGTTCAAAGGGGATATATGGGCGTTTTTTGTCCATATCTTTAACACTAGACGTGACGCATTAAGCGGCACTGGATTGTCTACGTTTATTGTTGCTAATTCCCTGCCTGTTATACCGAGAGAGTTTGCTATCTCGTTACCTCTAACTCCCGTATGACCTGGTACCATATAATGCGTACTACGCCGTGTTAAGAGTAGTTGTTGATCGAATTTATACATTCCAAAACAGTTCTTGAAGTCACTGTTTTGGGTGTTATAGCTCTTATAGCTGTCTTGCTATCCGTTAGGATGTTTACGGTAGCCGGTCTCGTGTTGGCATTAAGTCAGTTCAGACACTTTCCAATCGCCCGGACCTCCGCTTGAAGGATCGTATTGTGACCGGGCAAGCGGAAATGTATTTCGGCATTTGGAACTTCCCGCTATTTCCCAGTCCTTTGCATTTGTGGTAGGAATCCGTCGATCCACGAGTCTCTGGTAGGGATTAATGTTTCACAATACAGATTAAATATTTATATAGAAGATCCTTTTTAATAAAATACCTTGAGGGGATTTTTTCCCTACCTTCTGTATGTGGACCCATAGAATGCCTGTAAATGGCAACACAATTGTATGGATTGAATTTTTATTCGATTCGGATTTTATTTAAAAATTGTTTGCTAATGTAATACAAAAATTAATCGAACTTAACCCAATCGCAGCCACATAATTATTCTTATCTATTCTAATATTGAATGGAGAACATTGCAGGTGCCAAGTTACTGCAGTCGAAATCGAGTACTTCGGCATCATAGTGTAGTTTACGAGGATCACCACAGTCGTTATCGAATTGTTTCTACTCGAAGTTATACACGATAGGTAATATGTTATCGAAAACAAAGTATGTAGTGATTTTTGCGCGGGAAGAGGGCAAACAAAAAGAAACAAGAAGTTGGTGAAAATGTAAGGGGTGAAATAAAAAATGGCAACAAGTCAAAGCCATAATTAAATGTTATTGAATGAAAGCAAAAAATATCGGAAACGGCATTAAATTTTAGAATAAAAAACAGCCATAATTAAATGTTATTGAATAAAATCAAAAAATATCGGAAACGGCATTAAATTTTATAATAAGTTTAGATTTGTTCGAATGTTGTTCACCTTTGAATTATGGCCTTCGAACGGCCAATAAAACCGTCACACGCTGCCCAAATGTTGCTCTGCAGTATTTTGGCCCATTCCCGGCAAAGCGTTTGCTTGAGGTGATCGACACTTTGATATTTTTTAGTGCCAACCTTGCTTTCCAAAATACTCCAGACACAATAGTTCAACGGATTGGTATCCGCATATTTTGGAGGTTATTGTGCGCTGGAAATGAAGCGAGGAACCTCATTTTGTAACCATTCTTGGGTGGCGCGTGCTGAATGCGATGGTGCTGAGTCCTGTTGGAATGTCCAATTTAATACGCCCTTCAGAATATTTTCGTGATAATATTCGGCATTTATTCTGATGGTCGATTAATACGAGCGGAGAGCGACCATTGGCTGTTATGGGGGCCCACACCATCACCATGGCCGGCGTTTGAGTTCTGGTGACCGACCGAAAGTGCACATTAACAGCTGACCACTTTGGTAACTAGACACGATCATTTTGTCTGTTTACAAACTGCTGCACAACGAATGTTTTCTCATCGGAGAAAACCAAATTCGGCAGTTCACCACTTTCGGCCAAGCGAAGCAACTATTTACTTCTTTTGAGTGTATTTTCTTTCTGTTGCGGTGTAAGTTCTTGCACTTTTTGGAATATCAATGACTTTACCCCGAGCTAATTTTTCAATATTTGCCGAATGGAATATTGCGATATGTTCAGCTCACGAGCCATTTTTCGAATACTGCGACGCGGGTTTCGACTTAGAGCATATTTACATCTAAATTCTTGACCATCGTTATTGACAAATTCCAATGAATTTAATAGCGCATTTATACTCTTGGAGATTAACCACTGGTTTTCAGCGCATTGTAGAAGAATACAGGTAGATGCACCAACGCTGGGAAATATTGAGATGTCAAAAATTTTAAAATGTTTTTTTTTTTTTTTTTCAAAAATAAGTAGACTATTAAAAGTTTTCTTTTACGACACTATTCGGAGGTTGTTGTGATATAGATTTTTTAACAAGTTTTTCAAAAACTTGAATTAATTTTCATTAAAAGTTTTCAATTTCAAAATTGGTTTGACAGTTCATTGTCCCTATATTCTTCTACCATGATTCAGTTGGTTAACCTTGTGTGTTTAGATACACCTTTTGGAGGATATAAATACCACTTAGCTGAGGTCAGTTTGAATAAATTCGGATTAAGCATTGATTCCTGATAATTTGAGTAATTCTGTATTAGAGTATGACCCGTTCTTATACATTATCTTTATAGTCCACTTTTGTTATCCCTTAAATTAGGAAAATTGGGCGATAAAGTTCACATTACCTACTTACCGACACCAAATTTACGCGTTTTACCAAGTTTCGTAATATATTTGACGTTCAATCAAAGGAATTGACAATCTAAGTAACAATTTTTAGGAAAACATGTTTTTTTATAATTTCTCCCTAATGTTGACTACCAATTCTTGATTTTTGAACTTCTTCGTATAATTTGTGGTACAATAACGAAAGTAATCGTAGAAATTAGATATAGAAAGTGATTAAAGATCTATATTGATCCCTTCAAACTGGGACATAAATAACGTTTTTTACAAATATACAGATGATTATATAGATTGACACTTTAAATAGAAGAATACAGGTGGATGCATCAACGCTTGGGAACTTTGATATGTCAAAATCGTTTATTTTTTTTTTTTTTCTTTTCAAAAATAAGTAGATTTGTATATGTTTTCCCATACAATGCCAATCGGATAGCATTATAGCATTTTTCAACAAATTTGTATAATTTTTCATTCAAAACTTTCAATTCCAAAATTGACATGTCAAAAAATTTTAAATGTCTTTTCAAATATATGTAGATGTTTACATATTTTCTTATACGACGTCATTCGAAGGTTATTATAATACGCGTTTTCAACAATTTTTGCAAATTTAAATAATTTTCCATTCAACATTTTCAATTCCAAAATTGGTTTGACACTTCATTATCCCAGCAGCTGTGTCGTTGCGTCTACCTATATTCTTCTACGTAATGTAACGTAGTTTCATAAGACGCATCAAAGTGTCAGGCGATAAGAGTTGCCATATTCGAATTATCGACTACGAAAACTTTGCTAATTGTACCACAAAATTATTTTTTTTTTTCAACAAAAACAAATTATAAATTTGCCGTTCTTCAATTAGAAAACAACGCACAGAACGAAATTAAATGAAAACAATTAACAACACAATTAAAACAATTATTAACAACTAATAAAACGGAAAACGATTTTCTAACAATAAAACTTAACTGTAAGACATACACTTAGAGAAAAAACCCAAACATTTTTTGATAAATTTACAAAAGGCGAAAAGTTAAAAACAAAAAATTATTAAATCTCAAACGTATTTAAAACAAAAAATGCTGAATTTAGAATAAACAAAAAAAAAAAACATCAGGTAGAAATAAAAACAAAGAGAATTAAGAAAAATTATATCTATGTATTTGAAAAAAAAAAAACCCACATGCAAAAGACACTGAATTCATTACATAAAGGATACACTCTAACTAAATTTCGCTTTGGAATAGAATGGCTGATGAAATAATGATGATGAAGCAACACAACAACCAAAAAGGCAAAAATAAACTCGTTAAACAATCACTTCAAAGATTCCTATTTATTTGAAACAATAAACAACTGATTTCGCTTACAATACAAAAGAATAAAAAAATAGATAATATTTAATTACAAAACAAAAAACTGTAAGAAAAAATCCACAAACACTTATTTTCAAGGCAAAAGTTAAAAGTATTCAATTTTGTATAGTTTTATTTATTTCTAATTATCATAAATTTAAAACAACTTTACTTTTCAGTTTTATTTAATTTATTTCCAAATAATTCTAGTGATATAAATGTTGTATGTGACTCTAATCTATATATCCTTCAATCCCTATATATGCATTAATCTAAGTATATATATTTATTATATAGTATATAATGTTTATACAATTTACTTATTATATACTCATTAAAACATATTATTACTATATGATGGTATATCATATGATAAAAATCTAAAGAAACAGAAACAAAGAATTATAAACAACAACGCCACATATTTTTTTCTTATTTTGTAGGCAATAAAAACTCGAAAACAAATGAAGATTATACACAATTCAAAAAAAAAAATAAAATAAAAAGAATCAAATAAAATCTAAAAAAGACCATAATAAAGAAATCATAAATTAAAATAAAATACGCAATCTGCTTTTACTTTACGGTTTACAAGAAATAAATGCGAATAGCAGAACATTTTGATAAGGTAGGTGTTTGGTTTTCTGCATACACAGGGTGAGATAAAATAAACTGGAACAAAGTCAAACGCCATAATTTTTACAAATAAATTTAAAAATTTATTGAATAATAACAAAAAATGTTGGAAATAGCATCAAATTTTAGAATAAGTTTAGATTTGTTCGAAGTGGTCACTTTTGGCACGAATTATGGTTTTCAAACGGCCAATGAAACTGTCACACGCTGCCCGAATGTTACTCTGCGGTATTTTGACATTGTATTTTTAGTTGTATTTGATATTTGACCATGAAAATAACAACTGCAAAACAATTTGAAAATATTAAATTCATTTCGGACACTGGACTGATAGATCCTCGAGCTAAAAACCTCAATACGATGGCCTAAGAGCCAATGATCGGCGCCCATTTTGCAACTCAGGCGAAAATTATTTTAGAAAATGCCGAAAGCAGTCCTAGTTAATTCTGAGATAATTTCTGAATCTAAAAGAACACATTGGGAAAGTTCCGACGTTAGGTCCAATTTATAATTACAATTAACTTAAAAAAATATATTAAAATTCCATTAGTTATAATTTAATTTTTTTTTTTTTTTTTTGTTTATTGTGCATTACATAATTTTTATATATATAATAAAAATATTAATATTGAAAATACTAGGATTCCTGAAAATAGAAAAATATATTGTTTTAGTTTAATTATGAAGAACATTTGTTTTGATATGCAATAAATGTTAAGACTTTTATTGAATACATTGTTGAATGAAGAAAGAAAAGTCATGCTATCATATGTTTACATTTTTTTTTCAAAATTATTCATTTGACAACATCTCATTTTCAAAATGTATTTGTGAATTCATTGTACATAAACAGATCAGAGATAGCAGCATGTTTTCTACGCAATGAAATTTGACAAGGTAAGTTATAGGAAATGCAGAAAATGCTTATTTGATATGATTATATATGGCGTTAAGGGCTAAGTACATAAGAAGCTTGAAGTCATGGCTAGGCATATTAATGTCAAATTATAATGGAAAACGACGGCTGGATTTTAGTGCGGCTCTGTAATCCCTTTGTGAAATGTCACAAAATATGCCTAGCCATGACTTCAAGCTTCTTATGTACTTAGCCCTTTACATTTGTTTAAGGAAAGGGCATGCACGAATTGAAGGGGAAACATAACAAGTTTTTAAATGTTTATTCGATTTAAGTAGTAATTCTGTATTTGAGCTCACAAGAGTGAGCCTTAGGGTACAAGTACATAAAAAGCTTGAAGTCATGGCTAGGCATATTAATGTCAAATTACAATGGAAAACGACGGCAGGATTTTAGGGGAGCTCTGTAATCCCTTTGTATATATACCCTGTACCCTTTGTATAGCAAATACCTATATGAAACCACCACCCTCCCTATCTAACTATACCACATAGCTTAAAGCTTACACAAAAAAAAAACAACAACAAACAAAAATGAAGCCAAAAAAAACTACAACAATTATTCAGCTTATAACCAACCATAAACCAAGGCAAAGCACCAAAAAAGTAGGCTTTAGTTTTTTTGTAATTGTAATTATATAGCGAGACGAAACAAATGGCAAATAAAACAAAAACATAAGCAGAAAATATTATGAATGTTTTCCCTAGAAGCTAAGGAAAAATTAACGAAGTTAAGAAGGAACGAAATAAACACAACGCTAAGGTTTCAGTTGAATATTGGTGAAAACATTTTGGACAAATTTTGTTGTCCACAATATTGGAAATTTCTTTAAAAGAAAATTGAATCTTAGTCAACATTGGAGGAATTATTTTGGAGGGTACATAAGGAGATTAAATATTAAATAGAGATTAGGTTAGGTTAAAAAGAGGGGCGAAACAATTTGCCGCATGCCCCATTGGACATACACTTAAGCCACTAAGGCCTGTTGTGCGCTCTAGGCTAAGGGTTTTTTCGAAAGAAGACGGGCAGTTTACAGTCTTTTATAATTGAAATTCAGTTGCCTTTATGAAATTTCTTAACTGTTTTATATCATTTACCATGATCTGATTAAGGTCTCCGTAGTTCCCTAGAATTGGGATCTAATATTTGGGACCTGGGCATTGGCAGAGAAAATTTTCCAATGCTTCGTCATCTTCCCCGCATGTCCTGCATATGCTGTTATCTGCACATTCCATCTTGTACAGATGAGCTTTTAGGCCCAGGTGCTCTGTAAGGATGCTTGTTACCTCATTGATCTCCTTTTTACCTATTAATAAAATGTTCTTCGCTTTTTATCTCATTGGATCGCCCCATAAGATTTTTGTGGTTTTCCCTACGCCCTCATTGTTCAAAGGGGATATATGGGCGTTTTTTGTCCATATCTTTAACACTAGACGTGACGCATTAAGCGGCACTGGATTGTCTACGTTTATTGTTGCTAATTCCCTGCCTGTTATACCGAGAGAGTTTGCTATCTCGTTACCTCTAACTCCCGTATGACCTGGTACCATATAATGCGTACTACGCCGTGTTAAGAGTAGTTGTTGATCGAATTTATACATTCCAAAACAGTTCTTGAAGTCACTGTTTTGGGTGTTATAGCTCTTATAGCTGTCTTGCTATCCGTTAGGATGTTTACGGTAGCCGGTCTCGTGTTGGCATTAAGTCAGTTCAGACACTTTCCCATCGCCCGGACCTCCGCTTGAAGGATCGTATTGTGACCGGGCAAGCGGAAATGTATTTCGGCATTTGGAACTTCCCGCTATTTCCCAGTCCTTTGCATTTGTGGTAGGAATCCGTCGATCCACGAGTCTCTGGTAGGGATTAATGTTTCACAATACAGATTAAATATTTATATAGAAGATCCTTTTTAATAAAATACCTTGAGGGGATTTTTTCCCTACCTTCTGTATGTGGACCCATAGAATGCCTGTAAATGGCAACACAATTGTATGGATTGAATTTTTATTCGATTCGGATTTTATTTAAAAATTGTTTGCTAATGTAATACAAAAATTAATCGAACTTAACCCAATCGCAGCCACATAATTATTCTTATCTATTCTAATATTGAATGGAGAACATTGCAGGTGCCAAGTTACTGCAGTCGAAATCGAGTACTTCGGCATCATAGTGTAGTTTACGAGGATCACCACAGTCGTTATCGAATTGTTTCTACTCGAAGTTATACACGATAGGTAATATGTTATCGAAAACAAAGTATGTAGTGATTTTTGCGCGGGAAGAGGGCAAACAAAAAGAAACAAGAAGTTGGTGAAAATGTAAGGGGTGAAATAAAAAATGGCAACAAGTCAAAGCCATAATTAAATGTTATTGAATGAAAGCAAAAAATATCGGAAACGGCATTAAATTTTAGAATAAAAAACAGCCATAATTAAATGTTATTGAATAAAATCAAAAAATATCGGAAACGGCATTAAATTTTAGAATAAGTTTAGATTTGTTCGAATGTTGTTCACCTTTGAATTATGGCCTTCGAACGGCCAATAAAACCGTCACACGCTGCCCAAATGTTGCTCTGCAGTATTTTTGGCCCATTCCCGGCAAAGCGTTTGCTTGAGGTGATCGACACTTTGATATTTTTTAGTGCCAACCTTGCTTTCCAAAATACTCCAGACACAATAGTTCAACGGATTGGTATCCGCATATTTTGGAGGTTATTGTGCGCTGGAAATGAAGCGAGGAACCTCATTTTGTAACCATTCTTGGGTGGCGCGTGCTGAATGCGATGGTGCTGAGTCCTGTTGGAATGTCCAATTTAATACGCCCTTCAGAATATTTTCGTGATAATATTCGGCATTTATTCTGATGGTCGATTAATACGAGCGGAGAGCGACCATTGGCTGTTATGGGGGCCCACACCATCACCATGGCCGGCGTTTGAGTTCTGGTGGCCGACCGAAAGTGCACATTAACAGCTGACCACTTTGGTAACTAGACACGATCATTTTGTTTGTTTACAAACTGCTGCACAACGAATGTTTTCTCATCGGAGAAAACCAAATTCGGCAGTTCACCACTTTCGGCCAAGCAAAGCAACTCTTTACTTCTTTTGAGTCTATTGTCTTTCTGTTGCGGTGTAAGTTCTTGCACTTTTTGGAATATCAATGACTTTACCCCGAGCTATTTTTTCAATATTTGCCAAATGGAATATTGCTACATGTTAGTTCACGAGCCATTTTTCGAATACTGCGACGCGGTTTTCGACTTAGAGCATATTCACATCTAAATTCTTGACCATCGTTATTGACAAATTCCAATGAATTTAATAGCGCATTTATACTCTTGAAGACTAACCACTGGGTTTCATCAGCGCATTGTAGGAGAATACAGGTAGATGCATCAACGCTGGGAAATATTGAGATGTCAAAAATTTTAAAATGTTTTTTTTTTCTTTTTTTTTTTCAAAAAAAGTAGACTATTATAAGTTTTCTTTTACGACCCCCATTGATTTCCTGATAATTTGAGTAATTCTGTATTAGATTATGGCCCGTTCTTATACATTTTCTTTATAGTCCACTTTTGTTATCCCTTACTATAGAAAAATTGTTCACATTACCTATTTACCGACACCAAATTTACGCGTTTTACCAAGTTTCGTAATCTATTTGATATTCAATCAAAGGAATTGACAATCTAAGTAACAAGTTTTACGAAAACATGTTTTTATATAATTCCTCCCTAATGTTGACTACCAATTCTTGCTTTTTGAACTTCTTCGTATAATTTGTGGTACAATAACGAAAGTAATCGTAAAAATTATCTATAGGAAATGACATGGTAGAAAAATACAGGTAGATGCATCAACGCTTGGGAGCATTGATATGTCAAAATTTTTTTAATTTATTTTCAAATATAAGTAGCTTTTTATATGTTTTCTTATACGACGTCATTCGGAGGTTATTATAAAATGCCTTTTTCAACAATTTTTACAAATTTAAAAAAAATTT